TGATGAAATCCTGTAAATAATCAACAAAATCCCTACAAACCAATACTTGAATTTATTATCAAGCTGTACAATCGTATATATAAATGGTTTTTAAGAAATTATATCCGCTGAGGGAATTGAATCATAGCTGTGAATGCATAAAATAATAATAACAGTATGAAATGCAATTAAAACTAAAATGTTTGTGAATATAATGATAGTTAAATATCAAGTGGCAATACAATTAATGTCATATATAGAATAAGTCATAGGATGCATAGAACTTGGAAAGGGTGTGAAATTATAGGATTAGTAGCCAAATCGAATAAAATAAAAACGCTACGTAATGTTGTGAAATTTGATAACGTAGAACTTAACGTTGTAAAACAGAGGTGATTTAGAATGACAAGTGGAACAAGTGAAACAATACTGGGTACAGTTCAAAGTGAGAATAGTAATAGTAACAATTGACATAATCAAGGAAGAGTGTACATATTGAACAAACAAAACGAAAACCAGGTGGAGCCAAAATATGATTAGGGATTACCATACTTTAGCACAAAATGATTAAGACCTTGAAAGTTAGAGAAGTTGAAGGAGCTTTTTCTTTATACAGAGATCTGGCTTTTCTGTTCCGATGATCAAAGCTTCAGCAATACAGATGAGTCGGATGAATACGTAGTGATTTGGGCAAATCACCTTTCGTCTTGTAGATGACTTTAAAGGTAGAGGCTGTAGAGACAAGTTGATCATTATTGACCAGATATTCAATGATCTCACTTCTTATTGCTCCACTTCCACCTCTTCGTAATCATGCACGATAGTGTTCTTCCGCCCTCTTGGACAAAACTCGAGTCGAACGACCGATATGCCTAGCTCCATACAAGCAGGTGAATTGATAAACGCACATAGAGTTGGTCAACAGCGGGATCTTGTCCTTCAGGTTATTGAAGAGTGAAGGTCGACTGGTAAAGGTTATTCTCGGAGATGCAGCAGGGAATATTGTTTTCAGGGACTGTGATATCCTTCTCTTCATGATATCGGAAGCTAAGTCACCTTTGAATTTCAAGCTCATGTACAGTATTTTCTTGGGTGAGGATTAAATTCCCTCACCGGATATAATTTCTTAAAAACCATGTATATATACGATTGTACAGCTTGATAGTAAATTCATTGAAAAGAGTCTGTCCCCAGAATCATTTGATTTGATTTTTTATATGTTACAATGGGAATTTTCCATGAAATAAACAACAGCCTACTGTAGATATGTTGATGACACATTCATTGTATGCAATGATTTGAGTCACGCTTCGTCTCTATTAAACTCTTTCAACAATGTACACAAAAGCATCACTTTCACGATGGAGCATGAAGATGATGAAAAATTCTATTTTTTGGACGTAAAGTTGGAGAGAAAATATGACGGGACATTCGAAATATCTATATATCGTAAAGACATACGGAGTAGTCTTTACTTGAATTTCAACAGCTTCTGCCCAGTGAGATACAAACGAACGCTGGTGAAAACGCTTTTCTCTAGAGCAAAAAGAATATGTTCGCCAAACAAACTAGACAGTGAAATAATGTTTGAAAGAAAATGGTTACCCACAAGGTTTCATTAACAAATATGGCAAGAATGAACTCAAGAAGCTTGATACTGCTACAGTTAGTAAGAAGCCTATTTTCATCAAACTCGACTACAAGGGCGACGACATTATGAGAATGTTAAATAAAAGATTAAACGCAGCCCTGTCTAGGACGTATCCTGCAACGTTATTAGTCCCTCTATCCCGAACAACCTCCTCACTGGTGCAGTCAAAGATTGACAAGTACCCCTCACATGTTACCTCCAACTGTGCATACCAATTCACATTTATCTGGGGGAGCAGTTACATGGGAAGAAGAGAGAGGAGGGCCTACGTCAGATTCTGCCAACATGTACCAAAGAGCCTCCGGTTAAAGGGACCGAATTGTTTAAGCTCTTCAATCGTCAAACACCTGATTAACACAGGACACTGGGTAGATGTGATGGAGTCATTCGAAATAATTAACAGACAAAGTACCTCAAATCTTCTCAGGTTGGCTGAAGCTGTAGCAATAAAACGATTGAAGCCTGACTTATGTGTCCAAAAAGAATCCGTTGTTGGACTTCAATTAGCCTGGTGACTCACATCTTAGTAACTCTTTGTTTTCTAATTTTGTTAACTTATCTTTTAACTACCCCCTCCATTTTTCGCTTTACTCTCTCAAGAGATAATTTTTCTTGATCTTCTGAGTTCTGCTCACTGTCTGACATCATTAACTTCTCATCTGACCTCATGTGCACCGAAATTTTAGTCTTGATCTTCTCTTATATGAATACGTAACTATTGCTAATTTTCTTCTGTTACCACCCCAACAACACAACTGTTATCAATGTTTCTAACAATATATACATTATATATATATATATATATATATATATATATATATATATATATCGTAACAGTTTAGACACCCTGTAAGTCGCAACTCCTTATTTTACTATGACGCTCTGGCAATATGCTTGCTAATGGACAAGTTTTTTAAAATTGTACACCTTTTTATTCTTATTTTATTAAAGAATTCAGGTTGTACGCAACTGATGAGAACCAACGAAATAAAATGGATCCAGATTATTCTGCGCCAATGTTTCTTCTTTCTTTGTTCAAATATTCATCAACCGTCAAAGCAGTTGTACTACCTGAAATAATGATTGTTTGGAATATGCGATTTGATGATATGACACCGATCCTTTTGAGTCGCAGCTAGTTTCTTAGACTTACAAAGAAAGAGAGAGTGCTTTCGAGTGATGGTTTACTGCATGTCGTTTTGGTTTTTACAAGAAGCTTGGATAAGCGTCTTCCGATCTCATGGAAACTTTAATGTATAATTACCCAGTCAGTGGGTGTATTATTGTTTGATATATGATTTCCACTTATGCCTTACAACTGATATGTTGTACAATAAGACTCACAGATATACGTAACTGTATTCTATAAAATCGGCTATCAAAAAAAGCTAATTGTTAGCTCAGACAGAACTATTCAACTTCAAGTTTCGATGAAGCTTTCAATTCCAACGTAGTAACTCAAAAGTAAGAATTAGGATGATTTTATTGACTGACTAGTTTGAGCGTAGAACTTTGTAGCAATGTGTAGCAGTTCGAGTCACCACACTTCACTTAGCACACAAAGCAAGAGAAGAAAGTAAAAAGAAATGCAAAATAGAGACAGTAAACAGAGATATGATATATATATATATATATATATATATATATATATCACCAATTGTCTCCAGCCAATGGTTTTTAACGTCTCGAGGACCCCAACCAGGAAGTCTACACTTTCACTACGTGACTTAAGCTGATTGCTGTGGATTTCATTGACTGATGAAGCCATGTTTTGGATTGACCGCTGCTAGCTCTTTACCAGCCTGAACCTATGTCAGCTAACATTATCCATCGAGGAAGGCGATCGATGACTAGGTATACGTAACACCTCAATTGATGCAAATTTCTAGTCTCGTCTATTGATTTCCCCTCCATACCTAACACTCGACGCCTAACCTCAATATTGCTCACCCTATTATACCACTTCACACGGGAGATAGAACGCAAACACCTATGATCAAAGACAGCTAGCACTTCCATGTCTTCCACTTCCAATGGCCAGGTCTCACAGCGAGCCATAAAGGAGGACTGCTGAGCAGTACACACGTCCTTTGGTCGATAGCCGGATATCATGTCTATGACAGAGGCAGCATAAATTGACATGTGCGAAACTAGACTTCTGTATCCGTGCAGAGATTTCGTCAAAGACCAGCCCGCTGACAGTAGTTGGTGCCATTTCCCAAATAAGTGAATTGTTCAACACGCTCCCTATCTGTAAGCCAGGAGCAAGTCTATATAGTCCAATCCTGTAGCATCATCTTACATTGGACAGGGTGAGCGAATCATGCTAAACATTCAAAGATTGCTGCTCACCTCAGTGTTCAGGAGACTCCGCTCTATTTTGCCAGAGTCCTCACCTACATTGACTAAATCATCTGCATATTCTCAGTCTCCAAGATTATCCCCTAGTAGCAACTCAGTCCCTGAAGTCAGTTATGCTTACGTCCATTAGTACATCTATGATGAAATTTAACAGAAATGGGGACAGTGGGCATCCTTGACGGACGCCACTAGTCGTCACCACTTCAGATGACAACTCGCCATAAGCCCTCACCTGGCTGCATGAGTACGAGTAGAGTGCCTTAATCAGTGCTATGTATTTTCTCGGCATTCCCTTTACAGCCAGAGTAACCCCTCAGTTGACGGAATCGGATGCTGCCTTTAGGTCAAGAAATATGACGACTTTTGTACGCCGACAGAAAGTATACCTGTGTTCCAGAATCAGTCGAAGTGTGAAGATATGATCAATACACCCTCTGACTGGTCTAAGGCCTGCCTGGTTCTCTCGTGTTTGTTCCTCCGGTGGACCGCTACAGTGCACTACTATTGAGCCTACAACTTTAGATACCATACTAGTCAAGCTAAAGTCTTGTCTCCCTTCTTGTATATCGCGATAATCAATCACTTACACCAACCTGACGGGATTTCCTCTGATTCCCAGACTCTGACTAATACCTTAGTTAACGCAGACAGTATTGAAGGGGAAATGTAGCATGTCATCTGGTAGACAGGGATTAGTAGTTCTAGCTATAAGACTCATCATCTGGATGCAGTTGCAGTCTCTAGTGGACCTAGAACGTGTCATTTCAAACACCAAAGTGCTATTCCACTAGGTCACTCCGGCCACTTCAAAATAAGACGAAATGCGCAATTCTCAATTCCACTGCTAGCCACCATCCACTAAAAATCCCTCAAACATTGCGTCGAAGTATCCTTAACTGGGAATCGACATGTTATCTCAGTCAAATAGAAAACAGGACATTTCGATCCAATATAATCGACAAACAGTCCACGTTCTCGTTACCATAGAAACAGATAAAAATAAAGACCATTGATAAAAGACCTATTTTACTACTACACAAGATTGTAAAACTGCAAAAATTGACAATGTTCAGGGGTTAATCAATAAGATACAATTGAAAAACAGAGGGAGGGGGATACAAAGAATAATAACAATAATAATGGTAGTAGTGGTATAGTTGTTGCTGTTGCATGATCATAACAATAAAAAATAATACTGTTAATACTACACAAATAAAATCGTTTTAAGAAATGAGCACAAAAAAAGGCAGTATCGGAAAAGTAGCCAGTGGAGACACGAACATCGAAATTCTGAGTATTGACACACATCCACACACACACACACAAACTATGATGACAGTCTTTAAAAATAAGCTTGACAAGGAACAACACAACTATAGATAGATACGTTCTCTTCAAAATATATTTATATAAAAAAGAACAATAAAAATAAATGATAAAAATCAATTGTGTATTAAAAAATAGGTAGTATGGAATTATTATTGAAGTAGATTTGTCTATGATTATATAAAAACAACAAATAAAAATCCAGAGAGTCTAAATATAACATGGAGTAATTTATATATATTTTTTATTTAATAAAAAAAGAGGAATGGAAGACGAATAGTTTGTTATTAAAGGCGAATGATAACGGCACACATACACATGGTAGGCGGTATATCGCCTTCTTATAAAATTACGAATTGAGGTGTGCGATGGGAAGAGTTATTAGTCCACACCAATGAACACATAGGTTTGTTCTTCCGCGTAGAAATAGTAAAATTACAATGACAGACAGTAGATAAAACATATCCCCCTGTTTCAATTTATCTTCTTCAAAATTACACATAATTTGGTGGTATCCCAGACCCCTCCTTCAATGGTTCCTTTTCTAAGCTTTTCTGTGGTGAATTATCCACTGAGTAAATGTTATCTATATAATGTTCGTATAAAGCCATAACAATCTCCGATGTGATAACATCACCTGCATTGATTGCCAGCATACGAATAAGGAAGACACCATCACGTCGGAGATAATCATCAATGAATTCATCTAAATCAGCCCGTGTTATTTCAGCGCCACTTCTTGAGCGTATTCCTTTAATGCGTAGAAAACGTTTAATGAAATCTTTACGTCTTGGTGCTATCACCATTCGAATCAACCATAATACTAGGCTGAAAATACTTGCTGCAATTAAAAAGCATATCCAAAACCAGAAAAAGATGTAGATCTTCTCATTTAACATATTTATAGGTAAGGCACATTGAGCAGTATAGGCATTTTCTGCACCGACTAATCGAATCCCTGGGACACGACAATAGGCAACACGTGGGAATAATATTGTTTCCGGCCAATCACGTCCAGCGCGTATATGATTAGCAACTGTTAAACCAAATCCAAAACCTTCTAAATCTTCATTCTCATGATTTGATATTGCCGCAACTATAGAGTAAAGAAGAGAAAGATGGAAGGAATGTTATACATTTAAGATTTGCATAATTCACATTGGTTATGTATTAAAGACATAATATGTATGATTAGCAAGGAGGAGAAACAAATAAAACAATGGGCTGATCACTTTAAAGGACTCTTGAGTGGACCATTACCTGCAACTCGCCCACGAATACCACCACCACCACCACTAGCAGCATGCACACAACTGCCGATGAACAGGACGGAATTACCCCCCCCCCCCGAGCAGTGAAAACGGACCCAGAAACTGCGGAAGATGTTCTCACTGCATTCCTGCAAAAAGTTTGGAAGGAAGGAAGTGTGCCTACTGATTGGAAGAAGGGCTACCTCAGCAAACTGCCAAAGAAGGCAACTTAGGCCTGTGCAAGAGCTTGTCGCATCATCCTGGAAGGAATGAAAGATGTACTGGATGCAAAACTCCGCCCGGAACACGCTGGATTCAGAAAAGGCACATCATGTGCTGATCAAATTGCAACTCTATGCATCGTCATCACAGAACAAAGCATAGAATGGCAGTCAGACCTTTACCTCAACTTCATCGACTTCGGAAAGGCCTTCAATAGAAAGCGTAGACCGAGAAGTAATTTGGAAAATACTTTAACACTACAGCAAGGAGAAACCCACGTCTTTATCAACCTCAATCAACAGATGGCTATATGACAACGCCTACCACGTATCAGATGATCCACAACGGGAAACACAGCCGAGGCGTTCGAAGTGAATACAGGAGTCAGGTAACACCGCCTGCATATTATCACCAATGATATTCCTAATAGTGGTGGGCTGGATTACGCGTCAGACTGTGTGCTGGGAGCGAGGAGACAGGAGTACGCTGGACCACCGATGAGATGACTCTTACAAGATCTGCATTTTGCGCGGGGATAAAATATGTCTAATGTCCCACAAACTAGAAGACTTACAGGCGAAAACCAACAAACTGGCAGAAGAGGCTGATAGCGAAGACAGGACTCACAGTGAACATAGAGAAGACAGAGGTGATGAAGGTAACCAGCCAACTAACCAACCAATAGCAACGAAAACAACAACCAAAACCAATCAACATCAAAGGGAGAGATTTAACAGAGGTTGCCTCCTTCACTTATCTGGCCGGGAAGCATCATTTCAACTAAGGCCACTCGGAACCTATGAACATTTTAGAGCTGGCCAGAAGAGGAAAGGTAAGATACGCCTTCACCAACCTGAAACCAGATTGTAAACCTTTTGCACTGCACTCCGCAGAATAAAAAAACAGGATTCGGATTTTCAACACAGGTGTAAAGTCAGTCACTTATTCTATACGGGTCAGAAACTTGACCAGCGTGTCCCGAAAAAAATTTCCAACAAGTTGCAGACTTTTATCAACAGCTGCCCAATTCGTTGTCTCCATACTGAATATCGTAACAAGAAACCCTGGCTGGGAACAAACCAACCAAGAGCCGGTCACTCAACAAATATGTAGGAGAAATTGGAGATGGATCGGGCATACATTGAAGAGACTGTCGAATGACATCGCGCGCCAGGTCATGGCTCGAGTGGAAGCGACGAGTTGGTCGTCCTAGTGTGACATGGAGATGAGAGATTGTGGGTAACCATGGTCCAAGCAAAAGAGGATGGCAGAAAATAGGACAAAGTGGAGATGTGTTGTTGAAGCCCTATGTTCCACTCGGAAATCAGGGGAATAATAAGAATAATAATGCATGAACTGTTACATTACTTAAACAGTGACCTCTTAATAACCAATCGAGTATGAAGGGACAATAGGCTTATGTCACGAACCCTTCTTTAAACGGATTATAGTATTACAATCCATAAAATGTTATTTTCTGCAATTATCAAACACATACTAGGACGCCACTTTATAGTACTGGATGTCATCTAATATACTAGAAGGAGTTAATGATATGGCGGCACAAATTTGAATTGACAGTGTGATATGCAGGTCTGACCTTTTAGTTATTCAGCTTATCACTTTTATGAGATTAGTTACACACTAGTCGATGGTTTATTCGAATGTTGAATGGATACTACTACACATTATCAATATAAACAAATTAACAATAGTATGTACAGTCAGCGCCTGTCTCAATTCCATGCTTCTGGAATACCACACTCTTACATTTTCATCAGGATAAAGTGAATTCAATTAGTACAAATTAGCTAGAACTTATCTACCGGAGCAGAGTTTTTCTACATCAGACTAAGAAACCACTATCAAGCCAACTAGACTAAAGTGGGTAGAGCGGGATCCACAATTCAATCGTTGGGAATCAAGTGCTATAGCTAATAAATCACTCAATTATTGTGGTAGATACTTGCGAAATAGAAAACTGGCATACGACCAATAGAAATGAAATAGGAGTCATTACAGTTATTTAGTAATTCTCAAGGGATCAGTGGAACTTCACAAAAATGTACAAAGTTAACCAGTGGATACGATTGAATGTCAGTCGAGTGGTATACTTATTCTTGTTGTTGTTTTTTGTTAAATTATATTTTGTAGGACTGTAATTATATTACTCACCTTGCCCGTTAGCTTCATATGGTTTACCAAGCTGCATACTCCGTTGGCCAGCGCTGCCATCAGAATAAAATCCGAGAAAACGTTGAATGAGGTACACTTGCATGATAGCATTGATAATGGTGATTAACTTAACGCAGATATAGGAGAAGACAAGACAAGTGCCAAGACGTTTACTAACGACGCATATTCCACACATATCATACGCACGTCTGGTTAGATTCATTCTGCGTCCCTATAAAAGAAGAGAAAACAAAACCACTGAATGATTACTAACATTTCTGTGCATTGAACTCATTCGTAATCCGGAAATTCAAGATGGTCCCACAGAATGACAACTGATACCTATTTGCACAGGAGTTGTGCCATTAGTCGACAAAGTCTCGACGTTAGGTGTTAGGTTCGAGTCCCAGTGAGAGCAAAATCACTCAGTGGGGATGTCCAGCTGTATTCCGTTGGTGCGTCCCAAGGAAGACGAAACACATGTCCTGGATTCCACCAATATTTCAGTTCTGCAAACAAATATATCTTGGATACACTGATAATACATACATAATTTTCTTCCAGCCCTAGCTTTCCGAGAGGAATACACAACTTCAAGCTATGCAGTTGCAGTAGAAGTGCAGATGGACTGCTAGCCTTACATCCCGGTTTACAATTCGTCAGTAAACTGGGAGTGATTTAGGAGTGCATCGACCAGGAATCGAACCCAAGACTCCCGCGTGACTGGTGAGTACTAATGCTGTTAAACTAACGAGGCACTATTCATTTGTATGTCTCCTTTTCATCTTATAACTCTTGATTATATTGCTGACCTCCTTAACCTCTTTGTATCTCCTTAACTTGAAGGTATCGCTTATGACAAAGTCGAGTGTTATGCAGTAATAACTGCCTGAACGCAGCACAATGGATGCTGCAAGCGCACACACATCTATAAGCAAGACGGAAAAGTTCAACAATAGCGTCCCAAGGGATGCGAACGCACGACTGACCTTCAACCGACCAGTTATAAAAATGAGGAATTTTTGCACAAAAAATGACGCATATTTACAAGGAAATGCATGAAAACACATTAGACAGGTTATCTTAAAAATACGCCCCAATTATAATGAGGAGTATAAGTTGCTAAATTAGACTAGTTTCTGTACATGTATTCACCGAGGTGACTTAACATGAGCTGCCTCTGTGAATCGTTTCTCTCTCTCTTATCCTGTTGTGAAGTCTTTCCCAAAAGCCCCCGGTTGAATTACTATAGTTTCCAGTAAGAGGATCAACAACTACTTACCAGAAAAATGTGGATAATAAAACAAATTAAAATAAATGAGATCAGCTCTAAATCTACCCCTAATCATAACTCCAACCTTAGTGCTGACACTAATCCTCAACTTAACACTAACCCTAGTCGTCTGAGCTGAGGTAGGTGGAGTGGAATTCAAACGTGAAACCCAGTAACTAAAGCCGATGAATTGTATTTTCACAATGTATAAAGCTTTCACGTTAGAAAAAATCAATCAAACGAAATAGTGAAAAAAAACGGTGAGAATAAACTCATATCTGGCCTGCAGAGTTAATGACAGTAAAATTGTAAGTATCACTTTCGGCAACACAATAAGAAGACGCAGTTTATCTGAAACGTGTAACGTATATTGGCGCAACACATTTCGGACATTCTGATCACACACATGTGCTTGTCATACACAGTTTTTATAGAATGCAAGAAGGCATGAATAATTACAATATAGGCCAGATTGTATACAGGTCAAGGTCACAAATAATGGGTAGGGAGACGCAAAAAGTGTGGGTAAGAAAGATAAAAGGAGATAACTAGTCAAAGAAGGGGTTGAAAATATTATGAAGTAAATTGGTCCTTGGTTCTAAATTGGATTACCAAGGCAGGTTTAAGGTTCAGGCCCACTACATCCTCGACTTAGGCCTTCATGTGGTAAGTGTGGCACTTAGCCTGGTACATGAAAAATCTGTTCCACGGAACTCAGTTCAAATGAACAATATCACTAACTTGTGTTACAGAGATACATATCATCATTTGGTCATATATTATTCACTGAATCTTTACATTCCTTTTATTAACCTCGTCCGCTTTCAACAAGAGAGAAACTGTATTCTAACCTATAGCTGTAGGCTGTAAGATAGACAGCTTAAAAAGAGGACATAATTCAAAATACTATCAGTGAAATGAATTAAATTTTGATATTACAACAATCCTACCGAAATAAATACTGAATTTACAGACTTACATGACGACAATCTTTGTGACCGTCAATCATATCCTCCAAGAACTCAGCAACACGTTTCACCTGACTTTTACGTGAACCACGTTCAGAGATGGCTGCATCTGCTGCAGCTTTTACTAGAGCGAATAGATCTCCGCCTGATCGATTAGCACACACAGCTTGCCAAGCGATATGAGGAATGTAAAAGAATATACACTGCAGTCCGAGAACGAAAGGTACCCATTGATAATAGGCTGTAGAATATAAGCGGAAAGTAAAAATAAACATTATAGATCACATATTTTGACCAAAATATAAATGAACGAAATTTCATTTTTCTTAAAGTACTCAAGTTTCTTTCTAGATGAGATATCTTTTAGTCTAGTAAAAAGAGTAACTAGATCAGACAGTGTGAATTCTTCCCATCAACTTTGTTGATCAGTTAGATGTTGTAAAGAAAAACGAGAAAGGCAACGTGAAAACTAAATAAACTTTCGTATTGATTTTAAACGTATGAAAGTAAGCAAATCATGATGGTGAAATGTGTTAGAGAGATGAATGACAACTAAGTGAATGGCAATGAGCTATATTCGTTGTCTGACAGCTGACAGTACCACCATTCAAATGACGAAATTGGGGTAGATGGAGATGACTTTGACCATGAAGCCTACTGGTTGGAAGTCACATTGCCTAAACAAACTGATAAAAAAACTTCACCACTATAGAATTTAGTAGTAAGCCAAAAAAAGCGGTGGTACTGCCACAGTGATCTACTGTTACTTAGGCGTAGACAAATATTACACACAGACAGTTTGTATCGTCGTGCGACGACCGATTTGCTTAGGGATAAAAGAATCCTAAAACAAAAAATACACAGAATGTGATACAACTAAGAGGAGGGCAAGATACTAACCCATTGGACCTACTGCCTCGGTTTCAGTTGAGTCAGAGTTTCGGCTATACACCACAAAAAATAAGCAATAAAAAATTGGAGCCAAGGTAAATAATCGAGAGAAATATCACATAACAGATTTACACAGATGTCTGATAACGACAAAAACTTCAGCAATGCTTAACTGATCGAATATCCAGTAACAAAAAGGGTTTGGTACAGTCCTGGTTCCACTCCTAGAGGGTTAGATATCAAAACAGCCGAACAGTGACGTCAAGGATACAGAAGCTTACACGACCTGAAACTCAACATGAAAATCTGATTGACTGACAGTGTAAGGTATGTTAGAATGTGTTCAGAACATAGTTAAATCGTTTAGCAAAAGGCTCTGTACTGTCACTCGAAAATTTTCAATGTGATCAAGACTCTTTATAGGCTGTCAGACCCATTAAATTCTCATTTTCTTCTCATAATACTATCCTTTCTCCCGTACATTTTTAATCATTATAGTTCTTTTGAGTTTCTTTTCTCTACCTTCGAGTACTACATGGAGTGTGGTAACCTGAACTGCTGCACTTCCATGTTTGACACTCAGTCAGTCAACAAATCTGTGAAAACCCCAACTCAAATGTTCCATTATTTCCTCATTGTCTGTTAGCTTGTTCTTCGTTGAGATTCTGTTTCAGGATTGAAGCACTGTCACTAACTGAAAAAAGTAGTAGAGACATTATGAACTGTCACTGTGATTACCATACTGTGAATTTTAATTTGACAGAATAATAACAAGACGACTTTTAGTGTAAGTTGGTTAGTGTATATGAGCACTAAATATAGTTCGCATGATTAGCTCAATACATTTATTTCCTCTGTTGGACTCGACAGCTAGTACTAATTCTGTACACAATTCAGATGCCTTAATAAGCATTAACAAGCTATTCTGATGAGAACTAAGGTTGAAAAATGACATGTATAACCTGTCTTTTAACACAACAGTTCAGATTATTCGTACTCACTTTTACCTGGGACAGTAACAAAACATATTGTCGAGTGCTTCTAATGGTTTTTATTATTCTCAGGACAAGTCTTTTTGATTTTGAAGCAACCAAGCACCAAGAAGCAAAAGATATAAACCGTTTTACATTATAAATTTAATTTATTGATTTTATTCCTTTACGTACCCAATGGAACATAGGGTTTCAAGCTAGAACCTTAAAGTTTCAGTAGCAGTGTTATTTTTTTACGGAATGGCGTTGCTAACCCCAACCTTTCCTCTTTATCAGCTTTATTTTGGCTTAGCGAAGTAAAGGAGTGCGGTCAGCCGGGAACCGAACCACCTACGTGGTTGGCGAGCATTCTACCGCTGTGCCACCGTTTTACAGTTTGTACAGTATTCATCGACACCTATAAGGATGCGAAAGTCTTATATATACATGGAATCGAGACCACAAAGCAAAATTAATACACGCCATACACAAAAAGTACCCCAGAGGAATATCTCTGGGCTAATCAATCTTAATAAGTGAGTGATATAATTGAGCGATAATGTAACAGCCCTCTCGTCATTGAAAATGCTTCAATCACATGAATAGAAAGAATTAGAGTGTGTCTACGTGAGTGAAAAGTGATATGGAAGAGAGAAAATATATAGAAAAACACTAAACTAGTCACCCTATGCGATATATTGTTAAGCACACACGTAGAATGATTGTAACGAATCAACACATACATTGAAACAGAACATGTTTCACATTTAGTGTTTGTTCGCTTTCTACAGTGTCCACCTTTATACAACAACAATGACACGGTGGTGGTGGTGGCTAGGAACTATGCAAGGGGAGAGGGCTAGTTGTAAGGAAAGAAAACCTAATGGACTAACCAAAATGGATTCAAACAAATCTTAAGTACTATGCATTATGCACACATCCATTTGCATTTTCTCTGTTTAGTTGTATTGTTGTACCTTGAGAGAAAACTAATAAACAACAACGACAACTGAGAAGATATATAGACAAAAACAAATCGACCAATTTTATTGATTGATAATCTACCTCTACACGCATGTATTTTTTCTCAACCAATACACTGAATGCCTTAAGCAAAAGCGAGTTATGGATTGCAGACAGTTGATAGTAATCTTAGACGCCATGAAACGGTGTAGGTTTACCTATCATCCTTTTAATATGAATGACGCATATTTATTTGAAAGCTAGTAGGACTTACTAGGGCGCTATAGTAGTTAGATGAAAGTAAATTGGTAGTGATAATAATATCACACATCAAGCTTCATTAGCTATGAATATTTCAACTAGCACGTATTGTCCGTATAGTCGAGGCTATAATACTTATCGAAATGTTTTCAAATTTGAGAATTCCCATTCTCTATCTATATGAGCTGCTTCGAGTTTTTGACTGAATTATCATGCGGAAAAAACTGTAAGGTAGAGCAATGTTTAAAAAGCATTGCAAGTGGTTCCAAGTAGCTGTAACTAGGATTCTGTGTCAATTACAATGACAATAATACATCGATGTACATGGCTATTGTCAGTTTCTGACTTAAGCACTCAGTTTTCAGCCAAAGTGTCACAAGTTCAAAATCCCCTGCATTTACATTAACCTAGGCAACTGACGGAGTAATATTATCAGTCCCTACACGATATGTGCTTCATTGCCCGGTATATGAAACGTCTTACACCTGAAGTATAGGACTCCAGCACAGCAGAACAAGCTAATAACATAGGACCATATGTTTTTATCAGTTGCCCTCAATAAGTTTAGAAGTCTCGAACTAAGCAAGTGAATTCAAGCATTGAAAGAAGCCATAGACAAGTTAGATTTAAACTAGTTGAAAGAGATGAGCACCTCATATGGTTATCACAGAAGGCAAAAGAAATCATTTGCTTGCTTGAGCTTTGAATGCATCAAATGCCGGGAGTTAGTTAAACAGCAATAATATATCGGTGCTGACAACGTAAAATTAAAAACCCACTAAGAACCAGCTAGCTTTTTGGAATCCATACGTGCATTTTAAAGAATTATCTGGCTCGCACATAGTTTTGATTTGATAACTACATGATATAAACCTTTTAGGAACGTGTTATTATTCTGGTGACCGATTGACCTCTCTTCTGAATAATTACCAATAAAACACTGATCGATTCGTTAGAATACTAGAAAATATCTAATATATTTCTTCTCAATCGTCTTTAAGACTGCTAATACCTCACAGCAGTCAGCTGTGTATGGATAACCCGTAACAGTAATTACTTGAATACAAAGCATGGGCAGAAGGAACCGAAACGCTGCTTAACATTAATTTATGATGATGCGTAGCATGCGTATACCAATCAGAAATAGCTTGATAAACACTGAAAAACGAATGGGAAACTTGTTGATATCTGGAAAATTGTCTCTTCAAGAAGCCTAGAATCCCATCTTTAGCAAAGTTGAACCATCATAGCCAAAACTACAGATTCAGATAGAAAAAAGTCACATGATCATTGAGAAATGCACTAAAATGTCAGTCATTACACATAGACGTTATGAACTGTCACTATGACTACCATAATATGTAGTTTCGGATCCTTATGGGGAGTTAGTACAGAGATATGTTTACCTCTTGATATACATCTCTGGTGAGATCAAGACTGGAAAACTGCATCCAAACAGCCAGTCCTCGTCTAAAAGAGGACTCATATTCTAGAAAGAGTTCAAAGGAAGGCAACACTTAGGATTGCCGGCACGACTAATTTATCATACGAGGAAAGACTAGACAGTTTAAATCAATTGTCCCAACCATACCGTAGGCAGAGAGATTTAATTAAAATATTTAAAAGTTTAAATAATGACTAGGACCTGATCTAGTCTCTCTCACCCTTCTAATCACCAGGTCGGAACACCTAAGATGACACAGCAGGAGAGTTCAAAAGCAAAGGGGAAACCATACTGCTGTAGAGTACTGGTTCTCACACCAAGTCATAAACCCAAGGAACCGATTCCCAGAAGATGCGGTGTCTGCAGCCTCAATTGATTCATTTAAGAAGGGTGTGGTAAAGCACAGAAATTTACCAGAAAATGATTGACATAGACTCGAAGTCTCCCATTCTCAATGAACAAATCTGAAAACATCTATACAAAAATCATACCATGAGCGACAGATGCATTCGTCCAGGTGACTGTAGGTACTCTGACATTCATTGATACTTCTGACACTGTTATTCAGCCTACTAACTCTAACCACAGTCCTAACCTTAATCCTAGACTTTAAACGATAATCTAAAAAGCCATAACCCTACCTAACAGTATAGATCTATAGAAAAAGTACCTAGGGAATGAATGACATATTGTATCCACCTTCTCCAAGAC